TAGCCCTCCGTTGCACCTTTTCTAAGGCAGCAATGTCCTTTTTAAGGTACCTGTATGGTGACCAAACCTGCACACAATATTCTAGGTGGGGTTTTACCAAGGAATTATATAAATTAGGGGTGGAGCCGAACCCGAATACGGTATTCGGAAAGGCACAAATAATGTGTTTTTTACGAATACTTATTTCGAACAAATACTTAAAAAAATATTTGTATTCGGGAACAAGAAAAACTTTATATCAAAAAGCTGCGTTTCCTCTTGAGACCGCAGTGCATGCCCGGATGAGTGAGTGAGTGAGTGAGTGAGTTCAGGAGTCGGGGGGGGGTTGTAAAAGAGGTGACTGACACAGGCTACTCCACACAGTAACAGAGAAGGCTCGGCTGAGCGAAAAAAGACTTAACTGTATCACTATTTTTGTTGAATAGATTTTTGTACCTTAACTGGGTTCCGGAGGCAGTTTATAACTTTCGGGAAGCAGAGTTTGATCGGGAGATTATTCCATTACGCTGCATTATTGACGTCTGCAATCAGGTGCTCTCATGTTCGCTCTGTTTACGTAGCTCTGTTAGCTCGCTAATTTAGACAATAGGCTGTTGACAGAGTAACGTTAACGTTTGGTTAAAAAGGTTAAAACAATGCTTGTGTAGTTGTGTCGAATTGTATGCACTTGTAGGAGTTATATGGTACGTTTAAGTTACTCTGTCTACTGCATATCCATAATTATTATAATGGATATAATTAAAGAATACTTACACTATAGCGTAAATTAGAAGTGCAACGCAAAAAAACTGGATTTTTACGCCTATTTTGAATTTTACTCGAATACGAATACAAATACAAATACTTTTCCCCCCTCAACAAATACAAATACAGATACAAATACCGGCTGCTTTGCACACCCCTAATATAAATGTAACATCACCTCCCTTGACTTAAACTCCACACACCTAGAGATATAACCCAACATTCTATTGGCCTTTTTTATTGCTTCCCCACACTGGCGAGAGTGGGACATGGAAGCATCAACATACACACCGAGATCTTTCTCGTAATCAGCTACCTTTATTTCAGTGGAACCCATAAAATATCTGTACTTTATATTTCTGCTCCCTGCGTGGATTACCTTACATTTATCTGTGTTAAATTTCACTTGCCAGGTATCAGCCCAGTTGTTAATTAAATCCAGATCCCGTTGTAGCCTCTCTGCTGCTAGATCAGTAGGCTATCCGTTACATCACCCACCTTGGTGTCGTCTGGTGTCGTCTTGGAGTCAATTAGAAGTACAATAAATGAAACGAAATTTGAGGTGTGGGTTATAGCTACATTGAATTTGATAACACTCAAATATTGAAAACACTAAAATATTTTGAGCTTGCTGATCATAAGAAGCTTCTGCTGATTTGAACCATGCTTCACAAAAAAGCCTCAGACAGCCTACTATCAGACATAGTTGATTTGCATAAAGCTGGAAATGGTTAGAAAATCACCTCAAACAGTTTAGATATTCATCAGTCTGCATATAGAGAAATAGTCTATAAATTGAGACAATTTAGAACTGTGGCTACTCTCCCTAGAACCACCTCAACTGCACACTCTACAGTTTTACTGGGAAAATGTTCTTTGGACTGCAGAATTGCTTGATAATAACATGCAGCATTACATATGATGTAAAAAGGGCACCGCATACCAACATGAAAACATCATCCCCACGGTGAAGTACAGTGGAGGGACAATCCCGAATTTGGACTGCTTTGCTGCTTCTGGGCCAGCTTGCCATCATCAAGGGGAAAATGAATTCCCAACATTAGGTGTCCTATAGGATAGTACAGTACCAAGGGGGCTGTCTGCCAGCTGAAGCTCAGTGAAAGCTGGGTGATGCTGGAGGCCAATGACCTGAAACATCAAAGTAAATGTAAGTATTCCTACAGAGAGCAAGTTGGGGGAGGCATAAAGAGAATTTCTCCACAAGGAAAGTACCAATTATTATTATTATTATTATTATTATTATTATTATTATTATTATTATTATTATTATTATTATTATTATTATTGGTAGTCCGAGACTCCTGAATCTTGTGCAGGTCCGATCTGCAGTTCCCCATTACTGATACTAAAGGAGGTTCGACCAGTTATTAGATGCTCTGTTTCACTTATTTATTTCAAAATTTGAGCAATGTAATGAATATGCACAAAAACAATACAATAATTTGTGTGTTATTAGTTAAAACAGATGTATTTGTTCATTATTATTCTAGAGATGTGTCAGATCAAGTTTTCTGACCAATTAATGCAGAAAATCAGTCAATTCCAAAGGCTTTACTTTTGACTTTATTTTTAGTCAATTTTATGCATTTGAAGAGTAAAAGTTAAATGTGAAATTAATATGGCAAAGTCGTTAGGATTTCACCTGCTGGATGAAGTGCTAAGAAGGATTTTACCCTTGAGAAAGGCAGGGGAGACCGGGGATGATTGTGACATGGGTTAGTTGTAACAAAGTCTATTTCTTCAGAAATCAGGTAGAAATCACATAACTGACTCTCCACAGGCTCAGTTTATTCTTTATTTCACATGTGAAGAAGGAGCACCCTGTAACAAACACGCTCAGATTTGTAAGGAAAAAAGAAATATGAGGTAAAAGTAATTTTTTTGATGTGGTTTATTTTTGTGATAGCATTGCAAGCTTTGATATTCATTATTCAAGCTTAAATCATTTTTATTATGTGCCTACAGTATGTAAATATCTTTTATGCAAGGGAGTTGTGAGCTAATATTGTTGCTCTCAGCTGCAAGGTAAACTTGTTCATGGCCACCACATTTCTGCAACTGCCCACCAGGCACCTTCTCAAGCCCAGGAAACTTCTGTATTGTTTGCTTGGAACATTTCAAAGTCAAAGGAAAACTGGGTGAAATGCATAGACCAGGAGTGGGGAACCTGATCCACGGAGAGCCAGTGTGGGTGCAGGTGTTTGGGAAGACCTCTCACCCACGCTGGCTGTCATGGATCAGGTCTCCCACCCCTAGCATAGACTGTCCAAGGTGGGCCCATCAAACCTGTACATCAGCAGGAGATCAATACACCTGTCACCACTATGATTCTAATGATGACTAATATCACACACACATAGGTTTGTAATTATATCTTTGTGGTAACTCTCCATGGATTTCTATGGGGAAAACTCTAATTCCATCATGACGACCTTAACCCCTACCCAGCGATAACCTTAATTAAACATAAGTAACCAAACTAAATATAAGATTTCTGCCATTTTTACTTTTTTTGACTGCATTTTAAAATCTTTGTGGGGACCTGAAAAATGGTTGTAATTAACATACATTGCACACATATGCATACAAATCCCACAAATTTGGTTGATCCAATGAATAAATAAATAAATAACTTTTGACATTGTTTATAACGTTACATTTAACCCAGGGCTGTGTTACAGCTATCCCTGACTATAGGGTAAATTGTAACATTTCACTCCATGTGTTCTAAATCATTAATTTTCTGTTTGTTTGTGAGACAGAGATAATCCTGTGCCATTTCATAGAAGACACATGTAAGTAGTTTGTATCAAATTCTGAATGTGATTCCATAAAAGAGCTCCAAGGTACAGGCAAAAATGTAAAAAATGTTACAACCATCCCTATTAAATTTTTGCTCTAATAAGATAGCGTAAGATAAAATGTATTGATCCGAAAGAGACATTCTTGTGCATTAAACATAAATGGGTAGAATAGAATTCACTTTACAACAAAATTAGTATTTATTGCTACCATCGATTCTGACTGACCATGTTTGTTGGGCCTGTCTCATATCAATTAATTTTTTACAACATATTGCACTTTCAATACAGCCTAGACCAAAAATGCACTCAGCTGCTTTAGTGTCATTTAGAGCAATGTGTTGAGAGTCTCAGTTCAAACTTTATAATGAACAGGACTATAAAGCATTTAAAGTGGTCTATAAATAGTATCCCCTGAAGCATGTGTTTAGGATTGCATCTGCTACGTGTATTACCCCTTTCAGTTACCTTAAAAGACCATTAAGCCAGGACTGGAACTTATTCTTTCCTATTAAAGTACTAAAGTACACCTTTTCTGCTTTATATTTATAGCTTAAGGCTAATTGTTAAGTATCTCGTCAGGCATCCTTCAGCAGGATGACCATTAGCCTTATGTCTGAAAGTCAACAAAGCACAGTTATATATTAATCTAATTGTTGTTGAAAGGAACCCAGTATTCTGTTTACTGTTTTCTAAATTCAATCTGCTGAGTTGTGCTGTGGTGGGCAGCATGGTGGTGCAGTGGTTAGAACTGTTGCCTTGCACCTTTCTTGCCAGGGTTTGAGTCTCTGCCGTAGCTCTGTCTGTGTGAGTTTGCACATCCTCCCTGTGTTTTGCTGAGGTCAGTTGGAGTTACCAAATTGTCCATAATGTGTGAATGTGCCCTGTGATGGGCTGTAGCTTCTGGCATAGGCTCGGTACCCCCTTCCCCTTCTGGGATAGGCTTTGGACCCTCCCATCACAGGATAGGCTCAGCCCCCCCCCCCCTGTAATCTCCAGACATGCAGCTAGACTCACTGGCTTCTTTCAAAATCAAAATCTGCAACCCGATCTTCATTTAACAGCATCTTATCTGTGTGACACTGACTGCCATTTCATCACCATATCATACATGTACAGTGAATTTTAATATATGAATTTTGAAATATATTTTTACTATTATAGACTGGAGTGTATACTTCGGCGATGATGGGGGGCTTTTCAAAGTTAACAAACTTTGTTAAATTACAGTTAAACCAGTAGGATTCCCCCCAATATCTGTATGAAACTTGTATCCAAAACTAGATTCCTTTAATAAAAAATGGATGCATGGATAAAAGCAGAAACCAGAAAATGACGACTTTAGGGGTTATTCCCACGATTTATACACATGCCCCCAGATTTGGCAGGAGTGTGAGTCAGTGACACAATTCTGTTTCACAAGTGACACCGGCATAGGAAGGCTGAGGCCAGTTTGGCAGGCTTTTATTTACCATTTTAAGAAACAATACAAGAAAAAAACCATTCAAAGAGAACACAAAAATGTAAACTATGTCAAAAGCGAGAGTCAGTTTGATTAATTACAAGTTAGATTAAAAAAGTGCTTAAAACATGCTGTAGTGCTTTTGACTATATGAAACAGATACTCCTACTAATGTATTCTGTATGCTTTTGTTGACTGCCATATTTATTTCTGTTTGGAGGGCAGTACTGTGACAGTTTTAATGCGATGCACCTATTTCTTCTCCTCGATGGTGGGCTTGGTCACTGTTACAGGAATGTTGACCTCAGCTGCCTGGATTGCCAGCTTGGGTAAAGGCACTTCCACAGTCAGCACGCCCTCAGGAGACAGGGATGACACAACCTTCTCAACGTCAACGCCAGGGGGTAATCTAACGCCAGAAGAGAGGATAATAAACCATTCTTGGTTACTGTTCTTCCAGCCAGTGTAGACTGTCAATAACATGATAAGCTAACCAAAGAAAAATGGGGGTCAGTATTGGTCCAAAGACTCCCCCAGAGGCAATTCAAGCTGAATGACCATATAAAGTCATGTGTGTACTGTTGATAGGCTCCAGCTCCAGCTTACATCAGATGAATGGAATCTGTCTTTCTACCTCATAGCTATTTTGAAGTGCACTGCTTTAGACGGCAATCTCATAGCATGCTCCTAGTCTTAGGTAAGCCCTGTGTATGCTAATTTGAACAACCATAAAGAAAGGCTTATTGTATAATTTTGCCCAGTGTTTCTCAACCTAGTCCTCAGGTACCCCAAGACAGTCCATGTTTTTGCTTCCTCTCAGCTCATGGTTGGAACCATGGACATGGAATAATCTGGAGAACAACCTAAAATTAGCCAAATTTATTTTAGTTGATTAATTTATAGGTCAGTGTGTTTCAATGGCTGTCTAATGTGTGGATTTTTATGTCATATTGTATATGCTGTATTTTTAACGTTGCTTGACCAGGTCTCTCTTGTAAAGGAGATTTTTAATCTCAGTGGGACTTCCTGGTAAAATAGAGGTAAGAATAAATAAATAAAACTGGAAGGGAGCAATAATGTGGGCTGTCTGGGAGTTCCTGAGGACCAGGTTGGCTAGGAGAGATACTTACGTGTATTTCCTGGTGAAGCATCTGGAAATGAATCCATGCTCATCCCTCCTCTCCTCATGCTTCCCTGTAGATAAGGTAAAACGGCACAGCTGCCATCAGCGCAGTATGCAATATACTCAAGATTAGCATCGATATGTGTGTATGTGTGCAACCAGCTTCCCTACTCTTTGGGTAACGTCCCTCCCAACTGGCTCTTGCACAGTCCCATCAGCTGATGCAGAAATGCAGCCCCTGGTAACGCTTTTGTTTGCTTTGACTACTGGCCCCATCAGAAGTGACATTACTGACCTCTGCCACCTGAGGCTTTGAGCTAATCTCTGTCCTTTTCTACTAAGCTCCTGTGAGCCCCATGGAGACCTCAAGCACAAGAATGATATAGTCCAGCAGTGTAATATTTAGTTCAGTTTCCATATTTGTGTCAGCTTTCATTTGAAAAGCACTATGATTTGTTTTCTCTCTGCCATCCATGTAAGTATACATCTAATGCTGCTACACCTTCACAGTTGTTAAACACAGTGTTTGGTAATTGGTATGACGTGGTTTATATATGAATTACAATATGAATTCACTTCGCATGCTGTATATGAGAGGATTTCAGGAACAGTGAATTGTTGGACTTTTGACAGTCAGCAGAAATCTTTTTCAGTAGCAGTGAATGAGTTGCTGGCTACCAGTTAAATTGCTCCGCTTTACACCCAGTGTATGCAGGAGGATTGTGTTAGATAGCAAGAGAAGTGAAGTCACATCTATACCAAAGCATAGTGTGTCACCACCTTCTCGCCAGTGCATTTGCAGTGGTTATGCAGAACAAATGGCAGAACAACTGGCTTATGAACCTTATTAGGTACACCTGCCTCCCAAATAGAGTCTCTGGGTGTCAGATGATTGCATCATATAAAAACCATTTCTGTATACAAAGTTTACAGTGTGGTAATAGGTCCATTTCTAATCAGCAGGAAAACCTTATCATGGTAATGATCAGATGCACACAGATCAGCATGGAAAACCAGAGTACATGACAGCATGCAGAACACTGAAAGCAGCTCTCAGATTATACAAGAAAAGTAACACTGTATACTCACCGGTGATCTCCAGCACCCCACCCATGGTCTTCACAACCAATTCCTCAGGGGAAAAGTGGTTGACATCCAGGCTAACTTTCCACTGGTCCTGTGACTGCTTGACCTCAGAGATGCCACTGCTGAGTTGACGGGACAGGACACGAGAATAGGGGGACAGCAGCGGAGTTGTGGGGTTACTTGCAGGGTGGAAGGGGCTGAGAGGACCAGCAGAAGCCCCTACCTCAGAGGTGGACACTTGGGGACGAAGATAGCCGGGCCAGTACGTGCTGGGCCACTGGTGCCAGTCCTCGGGGATGGCAGGCATACCAAAAGACTGGTCAAAGAGGCGGCTTCCATGATGCCAGTCCCGGAATGGGTCCCAGCTCGGGTGACGCAGGAACGAGAGGGGCACGTGTCTCTCAGACATGCTGGTGAAAGGACTTCCTCAGCCTCTGGCGACTCTGGTGATTGCCCCTCATTCGCTTGCTTTTTATACTTTTCCACAGCCCTCCCTAACTATTTATGGAAGGGTCGAGTCTAACTATTCATGGTGTATGTACTACTGGAATGGAACGCGACTGAAAAGGCCACTCTAGCACAGCAGCTTGACAAATCTCTGTCTTGGCTCTAGTGCTACAGAGGGAGTCCAAGTCTCTGTCAGCCACAGCTTCTCCCAGCTGTGACACAAAGAAGGTCACATCTCTCAGCTAAATAGAAACTAGCATTTGTTTCTCATAAGCACTGTGATGGGAGCACAGCAGCAGAATGTAATAATTTAATCTGGAAGAAGGCAAGATGTTTTTGCCCACAAACATTACTACTCATCTGGGTTGCCCTACAGATCCTTTCCATGCATCAAATTCAACTGACCACCACTGGTTGATTGTTCTGGCCATATTTTCATCAGTTACCAAATACACACAGTCTTAAGTAAGATAAGAACATAAGAAATTTACAAACGAGAGGAAGCCATTTGGCCCATGAAGCTCGTTTGGGGAGAACTTAACTAATAGCTCAGAGTTGTTAAAATCTTACAGTATCTAGCTCTGATTTAAAGGAACCCAGGGTTTCAGCTTCTGCTACACTAGCAGGAA